CCAGGTGGGTCACCTGATCGTAAAAGGAGATCAGGTTGGTCAAACAGGATCTGCCCTTCCTAAACCCATGTTGGCTGGGTCTGATCCCTTGTCCATCCTGTAGCTGCTGTGTGATTTCACACAGGATGATCTGCTCCATAACTCTGCCAGGCACCGAGGTCAGGCTGACAGGCCTGTAGTTACCAGGGTCAGCCTTGCAGCCTTTTTTATGGATTGGGGTGATATTTGCCAACTTCCAGTCGTATGGGACCTCCCCAGTGAGCCAGGATTGTTGGAAGATGATGGAGAGCGGCTTGGCAAGCTCTTCTGCCAGCTCCCTCATTACCCTAGGATGGATCCCATCTGGTCCCATAGACTTGTGAGGATCCAGATGACTCAGTAAGTCACTAACAATTTCCTCCTGGAATACAAGGGGGCTATTTGGTTTCCTATCTCTGTCTACCAGCTCCAGAGGCCGGTTGCCTTGAGGGCCACCTGTCCTACTGGTAAAAACTGAGGCAAAGTAAGTGTTAAGTACCTCAGCCTTCTCCTCATCTCTATTAACTATGTTTCCCTCCAAGTCCCTCAAAGAATGAAGGTTTTCTTTGCTCCTCCTTTTGTTATTAATGTATTTATAGAAGGACTTTTTGTTATCCCTAACAGAAGTGGCTAATTTAACTTCAAATTGCGCTTTTGTATCCCTGATTTTCTTTCTGCATGATCTAGCTGTCTTCCTGAATTCTTCGTAAGTAGCCAGCCCTTTCTTCCACAGTCGGTAAGTTCTCTTTTTATCCCTGATTTCCTTCAGAATCTCCCAGTTTAACCAAGCTGGTTGTCTTCCCCGCCGGCTTGCCTTTCGGCACACTGGTACGGCCTGTTCCTGTGCACTCAAAACTTCTTGCTTGAAGCACGTCCATCCCTCCTGGACCCCCTTGTTTTTAAGGGTTGTTTCCCAGGGTATGCTTTGGACTAGACTTCTGAATAGGTCAAAATCTGCCCTCCGGAAATCCAGCGTAGAGGTTTTATTGTTGTTTCTCCTAGAATCTCTGAGTATTGAAAATTCTATTATTTCATGGTCACTATTTCCCAGGCGGCCTCCAACCACTACATCTCCCGTCAGCCCCTCTCTGTTTGTAAACAGCAGGTCTAGTGGGGCCTTACCCCTGGTAGGTTCATTTACCAGTTGATGGAGGAAATTGTCCTCTATACACTCCAGGAATTTCCTAGACTGCCTCTTCTCTGCAGTATTGAGCTCCCAGCAGATATCCGGCAGGTTAAAGTCACCCACAAGGACAAGGGTTGATGATTTCGAGACATCCGCCAGCTGCTTGTAGAATATTTCATCCCCTTCGTCATCCTGGTTGGGCGAAGACAATTAAATAAAAATAAATAATTTGGTTTTCAGTGTTTTAATTGATCCCACAGTGTGTTTGGAGTTGCATCAGCTGTCAGTCCGAGATGGGCCATGTCAGAACTGGTGAGGCTGGGGGGTGAGGAGCAAGGTTGATCATCCAGGGTCAGTGTGGATCTCCTGAGGAGACACTCAGCATCAAGATCACTTGGAGAACACCCCTATTACCTCTTCTCTGAACTACAAAATAGCCATCATTAAATTAAAAAAAATACAAACTTTGAAGACTTGTTTTGAAATTGCCTTGAAGACAATTAAAGGAAAACAAAGAGATCCTGAGGGATTTCTGCATTTTAATGAGCCCCACGGTGTGTTTGCAGCCCAGCCCATTACCCTGAGGTGCTGAGAGAAAATTGAAGCAGCTGCTGAAGAAGTCAGAAGCCAAACTGCAAGTGCCTTGAAGCATTGCTGGGCCCCACTGAGGGCAGGCACTGACAAAGCCTCCCCAGGGACTCCTTGGAGCAGCTCCTTGGAGGCCAGGAGTGCAGGCAGACAAAGGCTCTGGGCAGGCCCCTGCAATGCTGAGCAAAGCCTGCCTTGGTTTTGTGGAGCACAAAGGCCAAGGCCTGAGCCCCAGGCCCTGGCCCAGCAGATCCTGTCCCTCCCAGCTGGCTCAGGGCTGTTTGGGGGGCACTGGGATGGGAGGGGGAGGAACAACAAAGGCCCAAAACTGGGCAACCCCTGCCAGGCTCCTGAGGGAGGGGCGAGGCAGAAACCAAGGGCAGAACCTACCAGGCAAATTGCTTGTGGTGGCCTGAGTGGCAGAGGCAGCTGCCAGAGGCAAGGGGACAAAGGCCTGGGTGCCTTTGGGCCTTGCAGCCCTGCCAGAGCCCTTGGCCATCTCTCCTGCAGGCTGTCCTGCCCTGGCCCTGCTGCTGCTCTGGCCTTGCAGGCTGCACACAGCCCTCCTGCTTTCCCACCCCCCTCCCAGCAGCATTTCTAGACCCTCCCTGATGTCTCTGCACCAGCTCTGGCTCTTACCATGTGCACTTGGCCTTCTTAACTTGGATCCTGAGCCCCTGTGCCACAGGACATCCCTCCCAGAGCCCAGGCCCTTCTCCTGGGGGTCACTGCAGAGCTGAGCAGATCCAGGTCACCTCCCATTCCTCTGCCAACTCCCTGGGCCTGCTCTGGGCCCTGCAGGTCCTTGCCCTGCTCCCAAGGGCTGTGGGGGTGCTGAATGGTCAGGGCTTGGGGTTTAGAGCTCAGAGTGGGGATTAGGCAGAACTTTGGGAGGTTTGTTGTTCTGCTGGCAGTGTCTGGTTCATGATTAGGGGAAGAGATTTTTAGGCTGGATCAGGATTAAAGCTTGGCTTTTCATACTGGTAATACAGGTTTGGGAATGGGGTGGGTGCTGGAGTACAAATAAGAGTCTGGAGTTCTGGAATTGGGTTTTTTCTGGCTTGGAATTAGAGCAGTGGATTCCTTTCAGTGGGAGGGGCAGCACTTTTAGGTAGTGTTGGGGCTTCAGGTTACAAAGTAAGTAAAGGCCTACCAGGAGGGTTTGCACAGTGTTTCAGCACCCTCAGCCTTCCCTGAACCTGGTTTTACCTCATCAAAATCCTTCCTCTCTGCTGGTCAAGCCCCTCTTTCCTTCCCCTGTTTTCCTTCCCTTTTGTCCCAGTTCCTCCTAACCTCCTCAGAACTTTCATCAGGATGGGCTCAGCTTTGTGATGATGCTGTTCAACCTCATGGAATCAAGGAGCCACTGTGAAACTGCAGAACCTCATGGAATTATGGGGCCATTGTGACATTGGGGAAACCGTTGGAATCAAGAGGCCACTGGGACACTCCAGGGCCCCATGGAGCCAAAGCAACCCAGGGACAGTTGGCAACCTCCTGAAATAAAGGGACCATTGTGACACTGCAGAAACCCATGGAATCAGGAAGCCATTGTGGCACTGCAGGGCTTCTTGGAAAGAAAGAATCCCTGGGCCACAGTGGAATTTCATGGAATCAAGAGGCCATTGTCACACTGGAGAACCTCATAGACTCAAGGGGCCGATGTGACACTGCAGGGCCTCATGGAACCAAAGGAACCCTGAGACATCTCAGAACCTCCTGGAACCAAGGGGCCACTGTGCCTCCCCAGAACTCCATGGAATCAAGCAGAGCCGCTGCCTCCCCCCCACCGCTGCACGGACTGGAGCCGCCAGCTCTGCCCCGCTTGGACACCTCTGGAGTCAGCGTGTTCTTGGGCAGCACAACTGATCTCAGACCAGAGAGTTTCCCACATTTTACTTTGCCCCCTCTTTTCCCCAGGGACAGGGCAGCCTCTTCCCATGGCCCCTCTGCTCACACAGGGTGTCCTGCTCTTCTCCTGGCACATCCCATCTCCCCACAGAGCCTTTCCCCAGGGGAACATGTCTGTGCTGGCCTGAGCAGCCCTTCCTGTACCCCCTGCCCGTGCTCCCCACAGCCCCCGAGCTGGGGGGGCTGCTCTGCAGAGCACAGGGGCTGTGGGGCCCGGAGCCATGGGGGACTCTGTTGGGCTGTGCTGCTCCAGCTGGGAGGCAGAGCCAGCTGATGGTGCTCCCTGCCACTGACCACCTCCCACAGACGCTCCTGTGTGGCCATGGAGGGAGCTCAGAGGGGCCCTGCCTTGTTCCAGAGCTGGGACATGGCTTTGGGGGCTGCTCTTGGTCAACCTGTGGAAGTTCACTGAGGGCAAGAGAAGTCACTTGCAAGAGTTTTCCCTGTACCTGCTGTGTCCCCTGGGCTTGCAGAGCTCTGTTTGCCCCTTCACAGCAAGATTTAGTACTTGATCTCTGGTAACTCCATCCTGGGCAGGATTCTGCTCCAGGGCTCCATTCCCTCCTGACTGGATGGGACGGGCTGTCCATGCAGATCCTCTGTGCTCTCCTGCACTTCCTGATTTCCTACAGACAAGTCCTCACCTGCCATCAGAGCCCTCACAAGCTGCAGAGCCCCAGGCAGGTGACTTGGAGATCATTTGTCACCTCCATTGGCCATTGGCCACCAACACACAACATGTGAACCAGCCCTCAGTCCCTGCAGTCCCAGTGGGTCCCTGACCTCCCTGCACTGTCTGCATAGAGAAACAAGCAAAGCAACAAGACTTTTGAGAGTCTAATCCTTGGACTTCTTCTCAATACCAGTGTTGGGAAAAGACCTCAGCCTTCAGGAAGTGCCTGGAGGGGAACCCCTTTGCTGCTGGAACTGCTGTTGTGGAGCCCAGCCCTGTGCCAGCAGTGCCCAGGGCCTGTCCCTGCCTGTGCTCACAGGCCTGACCCACAGCAGGACAGTGACTGAGCTGCCAGAGCACTCAGGCCTTGGGCACGGACAGGAAAGGAGAGGGTGGGAGTGCAAAGAGAGCAGCTCTGAACAGACCCAGTGCTGGGACTCTTTTCCCCTCCACATCTGCAAACATGGAATTGCACTCCAGCTTCAGGGGAGGTCTTGGAGGAAAAATCTGGAAAAAAGCATTTGTGTCCTTTCTTACACTTAAGAGGTTGTGATTCCTCATGTACAAACTATCACAGGGAGGATGTTTGACAAATACCTTGTTGCACAAACTTTTATTTTGTTTAAAGACACACAAAACATGATTTCTGATTTCTCTATTTTGTAGGTGAAAAAAAAGAGGTAGAGAGTGAAATATACAGGATGAAGAATAAAATTTCAGTGTTAATGACAGGAATAGAGAGAAAAGACAGGGAAGCCCCCCACCCCAAACACTATCAAAAGCTTTAGAAGGCAGGCTGGGCCCCAAAAGTGTTACACAATCAATGTTCTGCAGAAGAAAAGAGGCAGTTTATTGCTTCTTAAAAAACATCCAGTCATCATTTTCCCCAAGGCATCCTTGAGCTCCTGGTTCCTGAGGCTGTAGATGAAGGGGTTCAGTGCTGGAGGCACCACCATGTACAGAACTGACACCACCAGGTCCGGAGATGGGGAGGAGATGGAGGGAGGCTTGAGGTTGGAAAATGCTGTAGCGCTGACAAACAGGGAGACCACGGCCAGGTGAGGGAGGCACATGGAAAAGGCTTTGTGCCGTCCCTGATGAGAGGGGATCCTCAGCACAGCCCTGAAGATCTGCACATAGGAGAACACAATGAAAACAAAACAACCAAGTCCTAAAGAGATAGTAAACCAGAGAAGCCCAATTTCCCTGAGGTAGCCTGAGTGTGAGCAAGAGAGCTTGAGGACGTGTGGGATTTCACAGAAGAACTGGCCCAGGGCATTGCCCTGGCACAGGGGCAGGGAAAATATATTGGCTGTGTGAAGCAGAGCAGTGAGAAAGCCAGCGGCCCAGGCAGCTGCTGCCATGTGGGCACAAGCTCTGCTGCCCAGGAGGGTCCCGTAGTGCAGGGGTTTGCAGATGGCAACGTAGCGGTCGTAGCACATGATGGTGAGGAGATAAAACTCTGCTGAGATGAAAAAGGCAAGGAAAAAGAGCTGTGCAGCACATCCCATGTAGGAGATGGTTGTGGTGTCCCAGAGGGAATTGTGCATGGCCTTGGGGACAGTGGTGCAGATGCAGCCCAGGTCTGTGAGGGAGAGGTTGAGCAGGAAGAAGCCCATGGGGGTGTGCAGGTGGTGGTCACAGGCTACGGCGCTGAGGATGAGGCCGTTGGCCAGGAGGGCAGCCAGGGAGATGGCCAGGAAGAGCCAGAAGTGCAGGAGCTGCAGCTCCCGCCTGTCTGAAAATGCCAGGAGGAGGAACTGGTGCATGGAGCTGCTGTTGGGCATTTGCTGCTTCCCAGCACAGGGACACTGTTCAGAAACATGAAAGGACAGGGAGAAGCTAAGACAGACTCCTCTAAGCAAAGCCACTTTATGTCTCACAGAAATCCCCTGAACTGAAATACTTTTCCTTTCCCTTGTTTGTACTGGCTGAGGGTGTTGTGAGGAACAGGAGCTCTGCTCATGTGCTGCCAAGGGCTCAGTTTTCCACTTCTCCAGTGGGGAACAGGAGCTACTCTGCCACAGCTTCAAACACTCTCAAGGGATGTCAGGCATCATCCATCTTTAAGGGAAAAGTTCAGTCCCCACTCTCAAGACGTGGAAGGGCTTAGCATGTCCCTTAAATAATGTTGTCTCTGTTTATTATTTTTGATGGTTGGATCTGGTAACTGTTCTTGTCAGGAGTACAAATCATCACTTTTATGATGCCAAATGTAATGAGACTTTAAACAAGAGAGGACAAACAGCTCAGTTCTCTATACCTTAGTGCAGAGCCAGGAGAGCTACAGTGTCCCTCCATCTGTTCCCATCTGCCCTGTGCTTTCTCTTGTCCTGCCTAAGCATAGCTTCACATGCAAATTAATTTTTAATAAACACAAATACCTACAGTCTGATGAGTACAGGGCAGCACTGTTTAAAAGGGCAGCTTTGTTAAATGTTCTCTGTTCCAACCCAGCAGTGCAGCGTTGCCCAGGGGAATCTCTGGCTGTGCAGGCTCTGATGGCAATGTCAGAGCAACCTTGAGGAGGCTGGAAAAGTGACCCAGATCTACATGTAAGGCACAGGTGTGGTCATTTCTGATGCTGTCTGGTCTTATCTGCTCTAAGAGAAATAGATTTGGAGTTTCAGTGCCTCCTCCTGAACTGTGAGATTAATTTTTAGGACCAATTTCCCACCCAGAAAACACATATTTAAAGATGGAAATAACAGGATCCTTCACTTTCAGGTATCCCATGACTGTCTGTGCCTTCTTAAAACTCCTTTGAGAAATGTTCTGTAATGACCTGGAGCTGTGAGCAGCCCTCACAACCTGCAGCCTACTCTAAACAGGCGAAGAGCCCTTCCCTGCCCTCCCAGGGGTTGCTCCTTGCCCACAGCCCTTCTGCCCCAGCCCTGGGAGCAGCTCCCCGGGATGGCTGAGAGCTGCCCCTGGCAGGCAGCAGAGTCCCTGCCCAGCACAGCACCCTGGGCTGCAGGACCCTGCTCTGCCCCACAGCCCTGGGGACCCCTGGCTGCACCCCTGGCTTCACAGCTCTTCCAAAGTGCCCCAAAACAGCCCCCTGTTCACCCATCCCATCAGTTGGGGCTGGGCCAGCTTTAGGAGATGCCTCCAGGAGCTGCCCCTGCACTGCCCTGCAGCCACAGACTCACCGTGTGCAGCCCTGCCAAGATTCCTCCTGCAGGGAGCTCTCAGCTCTCCTGCCAGTGCTGAGCCCCTTGAAGCTCTGTCTGTGCCCTGCTGGTGTCCCTGAGCTGGCCTGGCAGTGCCCTCAGCCCTGCTGGGCTGTGCAGAGGAGCTGCTCACCAGCAAAACCGTCTCTTTGAAGCTCTTCTTGCTTGCCAGGAGCTCCCTGTGTGCCAGGAGCCCAGCCCAGCTCAGCAGCACAGCAACAGCCCCAGGCATTTCATGACCCTCGGGGGGTTTGTCATTGTTTACATGAGACTCAGTCCCTGACAGTAAGTTTAAACAACTTTTCAAGAAGTCAAAATGAGATTGAAACATTGAAGTTTCTTGTAGTGCTAATGAGTCTCATTGAGGGACACAACTGAGAACGTGTCCCTGGGTTCCAGAGAGAGCAGAAAAATGCAGACAGTGATGACAAGGATACACAAGCAAGGGACCCCTGACCCCCATCCCCTGGGAAGGCAGATCCTGTCCCTGCCTGATTCCTCAGGGCTCTTCCTGGGGCACTGGGATGTGGGATGTGCAATGCCAAGGGCAGGTCCATGGGGTGGCACCTGCCAGGCTGCTGAGCAGGGACAAGGAGGCCAGGAGGCCCCAGGGCTGCAAGGGGCACTCCCCTCCTCCTGGCCTCAGGGGCACAGACAGCAGCCATGGCCAAAGGCCTGCAGAAGGTGGCTGTGTCAGGGCCTTTCAGCTTCTCCCCATCCCTGTCTCCTCTCCAGCCCAGGCTGTCCTACGGTGTCCATGCCCTGCCCCTTTCCCTGCAGGCTGTCATCATCCCCCCGGCTGCCCCACCTGGCTGGCACCTTCCTGCACTGACATCTCTGCATCCTCCCTGGCTCTTCCTGCACACACAGAGCCTTGGGCTCATCCAGACTCCTCCTGGGTGATGTGTTGCAGCCCAGTGTTTTCATGGAGTGAAATTCCTTTTTCCTCATGTCCACTCAGGACCTCCCCAGCTGCTCTTGGCATTAATTCTTTCTTTCTCATGCTCTTTTCTGCTATGACAAAAGGATCCACCTTCTCTAAATCCTCCCTTCAAACCCTCTCAGGGCTGTCCTGTTCTGTCCTCAGTCTCCACACCATTGAGGCCACAGCTCCTTAGCCCCTGTCTAGTGCTCATGTGCTTGAAACCTTTAAAGCCCATTTTGGGAGATCTCTGGGCACTCACTAATGTTTTTGCAGATGAAAATGTCGCGCTCATAGTCTAAGGAAATCACAGGGATACCTTTTATCAAGGCTTATAGTGACAGAACACAGTGGCTTTGAACTGAAAGAGTTTTATATTTGATAATAGGAGGAAAGATTTTAACGATAAGGGCGGCAAGAACTGGAACAGGTTTCCAGAGAAGTGGATGTCCCATCCCTGCATTTGTCCAAGGTCAGGGACTATGAGTAACCTCGATGAGTAAAAGATGTCACTGTCCTTGTCCAGGGACTTCGACCAGATGTCCTTTCAGCTCTCTTCCAAGACAAATCATTCTGCGATTCTTTTGAGTCTAAAGTCCCAAACTCCTCCTCCAAAGAATTTCCACCTTGAGGACATGAATTGCCATGTTTTTGGAGAAACAAATAGTCAGGTCTTGTGTTCTCTGGGGGGCCAGACTCTGCCCAGACTGGTGGGGGTGTGTGTTGGAAGCACAAAAGAGTGAAGAAAATTTAAAGCTAAACGCCCAATGTAGCCTGACTTTGTCCCTAAATGGGGGATGAGAATTGGGCACAACATGTGCAGAGGCAGATGGAGGGGTTTGTCCCCCTGGCCCTGCCCAGAAGGGACACCTTTCAGGAAGGGTTGTGGCCTTGGCTGTGCTGAGTGTTGAGCCGGGCAATGCAGCTTGGGATTGCAGTGGCACTGTCAGGGCTCTGCAGAGCTCCTGGCAGTTCATGCATTTGTCCCCAGCAATGCCAGAGAACTGCAGGGGTTGCAGTCAATCCCTTGTGCTCTTTGGGACCCCGACTGGCTCTGCTGAATGGGAGCAGGCCTGGAGTTTCCACACTGTTCCTGCATCCAGTGTCAGGCCTGCAGTGACGTTTCTGCAGCATTAAATTGGTGCAGTGGCAGGATGGCCATGGATCCATTCCTGCAGAAACACAATGGTGCTCCATCCCAGGCAGGGATAGAATGGGCCCACAAATTTTGGAAGGATAAGAACCAGGGAATTTTGGCCCTGTGGAATCCCATGAAACCAAAGGAACCCTGGGACATGGAGGAACCTCCTGGAATAAAGAGGACATTGTGAACCTGCAGAACCTCATGGAACCAAAGGGAGTGTGGGACGTGGCAGGGCCTGATGGAAACAAAGGAACCTCCTGGAACAAAGGGACCCTGGGACACTGCCAAAACTCAGGGAGACAAGAGAACCCCAGGACACTGTGGAATCTCCTGGAATCCAGGGGCCACTGGAATACACTGGGGCCTCCTGGAACCAAAGGGAACATGGGACATTGCGGAACTTCATGGAATCAAAAGGACCCCAGGAATTTGTGGAATGTCAGGGAATCAAGGGGCCAGTGTGACATCCCAGAACCTTTTGGAACCAAAGGGAACCAATGGGACATTGCAGAATCTCATGGAATCAAGGGTCCATTGTGACACTGGGGAAAATGATGGAATCAGTCGGCCATTGTGACACTGCAGGGCCTTCTGGAGCCAAAGAACACTGGGAAACAGTGCAACCTCATGGAATGAAGGAGCCATTGTCCCACTGCGGAGCCTCAAGGAATAAGGGATCCAATCTTTGCCTCAGATTTTGTCAACAAATTACATTTAAGGAATTACAGAAGTGGGATTGAACCACTTCTGTCCCACAGGTTTTAATGATTGGCCAAATGAGAATATTTCTATAAAATTAATCATTTATTCTTACAAATGATCGGACAAAAGATCAGAATTATTTACTAGATGGTATAAAGACTAAAACTACTATTAGTACAGATAGTATAGTGCACTATATTGATGCAATTATTGAAACAATTATATTAAAGCTAGCCAAAATAAATAATTATTGAGTAGAGATCTGATGTAACTCACCCACACCAAAGGTCATGGGGAGATTTCTTTTGCTCAACCTTGAGGAGTGTCCTTGGAGGGCGTCCCTTACCAAGGCAGGAATCTCCACACATAAACCCCAAGAAGGGCTGTGTTAGAACAACCTGCCTGTATGAAAGGGGAATGGACTTCTCTAGGATGAAGGGATTGACTGCTCCTCACAAATGGACAGACCAGTTAGCAGCTTCTCTGTCCCATCTAATTTCCAAAAGCAGGATGTGTGTTTGGAGTTGGGTGAACCAGGCTGGTTTGAGCATCATCCAACACCAAAACCATTCCCATGGTGCCACTGGTAACTCTCAGATCTCCCAGACAGCTTGCATGAGAGCTGGCACTGTTGGCATTCTCTGATGGGATTTTAGGCCTTATCAGGGTAGGCCCTCCTGCCACCCAGGCAGAGAGGTTGGCTGTGAAAGTCCATCCTGGAGATGCACAGGGAGCCAAGAGTTGGGCTCCTGAGTGACATCCAACAATGGACAGGGGGATGGGACTGACCAGATGAAAGTGTCTCAGGTAGAGCTGGACTGGCAACACAAGGGGGAATTATTCCTGGCTCGCTGGGCCCAGGACACCTCAGGTCCTCAGGGAAGAGGTGCAACATCCAGCTGGGCTTGTGATCCAGGGCTGCATTTAACCATGGACACCAACTGCCAGGTTCTCCAGAACTGGGAAACATGTGCTGCCATCAAACAGACCAAGAGGGTAAAACCCCTGTGGGGTGGGGGATGATGACTGAACTAGAGATGTGG